GACGATATATATATATGGATTCTGCAGACTGGGAGAGAGGTTGTCGACGATATATATATATGGATTCTGCAGACTGGGAGAGAGGTTGTCGACGATATATATATATGGATTCTGCAGACTGGGAGAGAGGTTGTCGATAGCGGTTGACGATGGCCACTCCACGTTGGCCACGGTATACACGACGAGCACGGCCAGGGAGGAGGGCACGCCACAATGAATGTGGAGGCGGGAAACGGGCCATGGCCACGCACCATCCGCAGGGAGCAGCAGACCCGCAGCGACTGCAGCAAACGGGAAAAAAAAAAAAAAAAAAAAAAAAAAAAAGAACACCGAAATGCATTACTTCACAACTCAGCCTGAACACAGGTCCATCTGTTGTCCGTTCAGATGGACCTGCCCTCAGGCCGAAGTGCCAACGAGCGGTACCGGTACCCCGTTTTTTCACGAAACGACAGGTACCCGTTTTTTCACGAAAAGACAGAGGCTCGGAAAAATTCGGCGCGCAGGGAAATTCAGGCTCGGATTCAATAGCTGAGCGAGGTACTGGTGGTTTAAGCCCTGAAAGTCCAATCCCAAGATGAGCACTTAACCCCACCCCAGCACAGATTTCTCTGCGTCCTTGTGTACCCAGTCACACTCACACCTGACCCCACCACACAGGCCGTTCAGGCCGGCAGGGCAACCACCTCACAATGTTTCTCTCACTGCGGGTTGCTACCCTACCGTCTTCACCCGAATAAACGCCCAGTCATTATACCTGTATTGGGCGCAACTTTCAGCCCAGATACTGCTATAATTACGGTGCGTTCTATTGGGGTGAAGACGGTAGCAAGAATTTCATTTTCCGTCCAATCTCAAGAATTGAGGAGGGGGAGGAGACTCGGGAGAGGAGGAGGAGGCAAAGTAAACAAACAGACGCAGACGAAGAAGATAAAAGCAGAGGCTATTTATATCATTTTTTTAATTTTTTTTTAAAGCCCAGCCAATTCAATTACCTGTCAAATCTGGAAAGGACGGCCATTGATACTAATTTGATAGCATCCGCCAAAAAAAAACACAAATTGATATTAATTTGATAGCATCCGCACTGCAAAACAGGCGTGATTGATTGGTAACAATGATGAAAAGATTAAAATAAAATAAAAACAAAATAAAAACAACAATACATTTCCTGCAGAGGCTATGGCCAACACTCTGCAATACATTTCCTGTAAGAGAGCTCCTCCGCCGCAGCCGCAGCCGCAGCCGCAGCCGCAGTCCTCTATAGCTTAGGGTCAGATCCCACTACCCTGGATTATTCATTTTTCACCCTCGATTACGAAGATCAACGGTCAGAAATGAACAATAGGGGCTAGTGGGATCTGGCCCCATGTCTTGGTCCCATAGCTGTGGAGGACTGCGGCTGCGGCGGAGGAGTAGAAGAAGAAGGAGAGGGCGATTGCAGTCGGTGATGCAAAGAAATGGCATGGCAGGGGGCGAGTCCAGAAGCGACTTGTTACCCACGCTCTCCTCCTCCTCCTCCTTTTCCTCCTCTTCGTTGGGAGAGGAGTAAAGAGGGGGAGGATGACACAGAAACGCGGGGAGTAGGGTAGGCTGAAGAGCGATTGCTGGTGTTGAGATCACCGGGAATGAAGAGAGAGGAAACGGACTTTCTTCTAGCGGCATGGGCCTGCCGCTGCTTCGTCGTCGTGGACAAGTCCCGGCTTCGGATGAACTGTCTGTGGAAGTAGCAGTCTGCATCGACGAGGTTGATGAGAACTTGCTTGACTTGGTCGCACATCGCCTCGAGGGCAAGCAGGTGGAAGGGCTCTTCGGTGTAGACCCCCACTTCCTCGATTAGGAAAAGTGCTAACGCACTGAAGAAGGTAGCGGGAATCACACCCCACCCGCATTCACGCCAGAGGGAGATAGGGAACAGGAAGTGCCACACCATCATGAACCGGGACGTCATCCTGGTGTAAGGGAGGGGGATAGGGGTGGAGAAGATGCGTTCACACCCGCCGAAACTGTCGATCAAGCCGCTGATGTGGGGGTGCATCAAGGACTTGCGTCCTTCTGACATCCTGGACATGGTGATCAGCTCGTTCAGCATGTGTATTATCTCCCTTGGAGGGAGGACCTCCCTCAGCTCTGCGCCGAGATCCCCATCAGGTTGATGACGGAAATGGTACTTCATCACCACTGCATAGGCTGCGAAATGCCTAAGTAACAGCCCCCTCCCCCTCCCCCTACCCCCCCTTCTCTCCTCTTCCATCGAGCGATTGCAGTCGTCAGAGCCCTCCACCTCCTCCTCCCACGCCAACGCTTGGCGGGTTAAGTCCCTCACTCTCCCAATGAACCCTCCCCACGTTCTCCGTGCCTCATCGAATCTGGCGTAGGCAGCGTTCGTCCTGAAGACCAGCAGCAGAGCTAGCGATGCTGACGTCAACTGCAAGGTGATCGGAGCGGCCTGCAAGATGGGCATCCAGCGTGGCAGCAAGCCGATCTGCACCAGCTCGTTCCACGTTGCCACCACCATCGCCACCATCGTCATCAGGAAGACCGGCCGTGCCACCCCCAGCACATCGCGTGAGCTCATCATCGACTTGAGGCTGTCGCAATGCCTCCTGCTAGACCGATGCTTCTTCCAGTCGTTCCCGTCGTACACAGTACCCCTGCTTCGTCTCTCGCTGATCACAATCCGCTGGTCCAATAATTCGTCAAACTGAGTCAATCGATGGAAGCTAAGGAACAAATCCATTAAAGGACTGGTAGAAGTCGGAATGTGCTGCTCTGCGTGGGGAGGGGGCTGTCCCTGTGGAGGTCTAGCCCACTTCCTATGCCTCCCCTCCTCCTCCTCCTCCTCCTCCTCCTCCTCCTTCCCCTTCTTCCACATCCGGCCGGACATTGGACTGCATTGCCGGTCGTATTGATCACCTTGGCGCTGCTTGTTGGCCTTCTCTAGCTGCCGCCAGTGGTCAGGAGGGAGTCTAGACCCCTTCCTCTTCCTCCCCTCTCCTCCTCCTCCTCCTCCTCCTCCTCCTCCTCCTCCTTCGCTTTCTTACCCTTCTCCTCAGACTTCGAGGAACCAGGCAATCCATTGTCGCCGTGTCCAGCACCTGCACCTCCCGTTGACGTCATCGTAACCGTCACGCGCGGGGCCCTGAAATACGCTAACGCAACAACTTGGCCCTCCCTCCGACCGCTGTTTCTTCTTCTACATCTCCTCCTCCTCCTCCCTCCTCCTCCATATCCCCCCGGATCTACTCCCACACTCCCTGTTGATCCAAGGCACGTCAATCCTCGCCGTGCTTGAGCTCCGGATGTCCACCACAGCTGTCCGGACGTCGCAAGTTGAAACCGCTCTCTATGCGCTACTACCAGCGCATGTCCATCCTCAATCTGCCCCACCATGTTCACTGCCACTCGGTGTCTGTTACTTTGCCCCGATAGAATTATTACACGACCCTCCTGCTGCACGGGCGCTTATCCCTTCATCCTTGAAATTTCTTTCGTCCCTTCTCCTTCTATTCATGCTGTGTTTGGTTTTATATATATACATCGTCACAAACAGAACTGCCCGGTAAACCGTAGGCAGAGCGAGAGAAGAGGACAACAAACGAGGGGCTGTGACAAACTGTTTCGTCGGAGTTTCACCGACTCATCAGGATACATATATATATATATTTTCTTCAATCCATCCACTGCCTAATTGACGTAAACCCCTCGCCTTCTTTTATTTTCAAAGGGCCACCGTCACGGCCTTTTCAGATATCATCATCATCGAGTAGATCGGCCCCACCAGGCAATTCATTTGGATTTAAACTCTGGTCTGCATTTCCGCAGTCGATGATGGTTATACCAAGTTGCCCAGAAATG